AACTGTAAATGCATTTCTTGAACTGTTTTGACACACATTCGTGAATCAATCGGTCTTTGAGTGAGTGATAGGACAGCAGAAGTTGACACAAATCGTCGCAAATTCTGTCAAATGAGTCCTTTCTTTGAATTTGACACTATTTTTATTGATATATCCGAAGAGTTATTTTGATATCAATTTATGAAATCTGAATTTATATCATAATACCTGTTGTTTGTCTTTGATTTCATCTTCGATGTTATTTGTCTTAATTGTGTCCATACTTTAGATTTGATGAGAAAATCGATTTAGGATTTTGTGTATAATATCTTATTTTCTAGAATTCTTTACTTGAACTTTGTATTAACACTTAATGTTAACAATTGATACAAATGTTATAAAATCTCGTGAATTAAACATTTAAACTAATGCTTGCGATTATCTAAACAAATAAAAGATGTCTGAAAAGGACTCAAGTGTTAACGATTTGACGCAATTCTTCAAGAAATCCCACAAAATTGAAGACAATTTATATTTAGGTGAACTGAAGTTAGCGACCAACAAGACAGAGCTCAAGACTTTGGACATTAAAGTGATTGTATCTGTTGTCGACTATAATATGCCTGAAGTGAAGATACCGGACATAAAGTATTATCACTTCCGAGTGGCCGACGGCCCCAACGAAGACATACTCAGTATATTCGGCGAAACCAATCAAATCATAAGCGACTGTCAGTCCAAAGGCGTCAATGTGTTGGTCCACTGCACGGCCGGCGTCTCCCGGAGCGCAACCGTTGTCATCGCTTATCTCATGTCTAAGCATAAGAAACCCTACAAAGAGATAATCCAAAGGGTAAAAGACATCCGGAAGAAGATATCACCGAATGATGGCTTTGTTAAGCAATTGATTCTCTACGAGGAATTGAATTACAGAATCGATGCCAACGACAAGAAACTCAGACAACATTTGTTGAGAACTTTGTTTCTCAACACAAATATAAGCAACACTTCTGACCGCTATTTTCAACGACTGGTTGCTGTTGAGAGGCTCACACCTAATCTGTTGCCCGGAAAGGGATACCTGTGCGCCAAATGTGGTTTTACTATATGTCATGAAATTAATGTTATTAAAAATAATATTAAAAGTGATGACAAGGCGTGTAATACATTATATATTGAACCCCAGAATTGGATGAGAGAAAAGATTTCTAATTTGTTTTCCTCCAAGAAGTATAAGAAAGATAGTCTTCACACGACTTGTCCTGAATGTCACGAAATTTTGGTCAAATTTCAGTCTGAATTCAAATCCCATGTTTGCAAATGTCTTAAACATAAACAACTCAATTGTCTGTATTTCCAACTCAGAGAAGACAAGTTTAAAATTGAAAACTAATTTCTCGTATAATATTTTATATAGATTTCTGATTCAAGATGTTA